TGGGGAGTGGTATTTGGCTCTATAATTGCCAGTTGCTATTTTCGGGCATCCCAAAATTATACTTTTAGACTACAACATTAGGGAACAGCAATCATAATAACATCTTTGATTGGATTTGAATATTAATTTAGTCCGATGACCTCGTCGCGGTGTCAGACAAGTGGTGGTGGGGATGTCGAGATTTGTAACGGGTTGGCGACCCGACAAAATCAACAATTCCAATGCAATGCACAGCAACGATAACTAAAATTAAATCAATACCAAACATGCCTATACGCTACAACCAGAACCATCAAATTGCCCAGCTTTTTAGTCCCCATGCTCAATGGGAAGATATGGCTTTGCTTTCTGAAGTATTACTATTTTATAAGACTAAATATAGCAACCCTAATTAGTCTATACCAAATCGAAACTACTGATTTTTCTCGGGGCTTTTCCCCTGCACCCTTACCGGGGCCTTTATTTTCCATTGATTCCAAATTGGACTCACTTTAAACAAAGTTTCATCTTCATCATCATCATCATCATCATCATCATCATAATTATTTCATATTTTTTCTGGGCATCCAGGTAAACAAAGTTTCCACGGTATGACCACTGAATCGCTGTAAAACTAGCCACATTTAACAACATTGTGCCCCTCCCCACTCTTTTACAAAAAAAGCTGGATAGCCCTTGAATGTTAGTGCTCTGTCTCACCTGTTAGATCTGTACATGGAGGTATCTATATGGTCTGTCTGAGTATAACCGCTGTAAGGTCTACCAGAAGAAAACACGGGATTTAATTACAGCATTTTAACAATTCAAGAGATAGTATAACTGACCTGGAGCGTGATAAATAATTGATTATGCTTCAGACTGAATTTGGTAAGTGTAAATTAAATTGTACGAGCAATAAGTTTGTCGAAACGCGATGTTATTTGTGTAGGCATAGGAGGCCTACTGTATTTCCATAGATAATTCATAGCATACTGTATCATGTGTATTCATAGAACATGTTCTAGGCCTAATTAATTAATTGCATATTGTTAATATTTCTCAATACTGCACGTCGTGTAGATATAATTTTAGTTATCATTGTTATTCCTTGTACATAGTGTTTCCTGCACTTTATTTATTCATGGAGGAATAAGCAACTTAATTGCATTTTGAACAATATATCATTTTCACAGTAGAACTACATCTGTCTATTCCCATGACTTAAAATGATATTACGAATTGTAATTTCATCAATGCTACCACATTCTGTGTCCAGATATAGAATTTTTAACCTGAATGCTTTTTTCTGTGCCCACTCTTTAGCATCATGTACAGGGCATAGGCATTTATTATCTTTATTTTTTCTTGAGTCATACCAGTAAGAATATGATGCCCTTTAAAAAAAATCTTCCTATTAGTATTATATATGGGAGAGTACCTCATGAACATTATTCACACACCCTCGAGCCTGCTATGGGGATATCAGTTCAGATTTATCCCAACATACACTATGTTGTGTGTTTGAGTACATGACTATAGATAACTTTTTTTGTTCCCTTCTGCTAGCCCCTCTCCTAGCATGGCCTTAATGATCATTGGTGTACGATTGAAGCACTCAATCAAAACGTCGAGAAATTCTCAACCAACAACAGTTCTTGTCAGAACTATCTACGTGGAGTACCGCAAGCATACAAATCTTCAAACAATATTTAACAATCACAAATTTGATATCAGACAAAACATAGACAGCATAACTAATTACAACAATTATTATCAAAGAACACTAATTTTTTATTTGTTCCTCTTATTTAGAGCATATGTAATGTAAAGGTGCAGTCAGCACTGCTAATTAAAAAACAAAAACAAAATAACTGCATATTTACACAAACAAAAATTTATTATACAATCGATATATAATGTTTAACAGTTAATTTCTTTCAAAGAGAAAGAGCTTCCAATTGACTACAGTATAGTAAGACGTGGTGTTGTCTTAAGCCGGGCAGTCACTACGTTGTACGACAATCGTGCGATCATTACACAACGAATGCAAATCCGCTCTATGTGAGTGCTAGACGACGCGATGCCGTCTGCTGATTGTTGGTGGTAGTCCGACAGGATCGTCATTAAAAACGATTAGTTGTGCGCGCGCCATAGCGTTGGGTTCTTCACATAATCTTGACGCCCGGCAGCGAGTGCCAGGTTTCAAGGTGCAACTGAGTGAGACATTTCATTATGATAATAAATATAACATTTGCTTTTATTTTCAGAAAACACAAATTTGAACTTTCTGTTAATAGGGGATCAATCCTTATACAAATTGTGATAGCATGGATATCAATCTCTATCCAAATTAGATGGAAGTTGGTTGACCAGCATACTCTCTATACATTCAAATACTGTGTGAGGGTCTTGGTCGGCATTGATATGCTGGGCCCGCTTATAGAAGTCCGTCAGCTCTTCTATGTATGCATTGTAGGCTGACAATCTTTGTTGCACAGCCTCGTCGGAGTCATCTGGATGACGTTGACATCTGTCTTTGATGTGGCTGGAATGTGGTGGGTTGTAGAGAGTGTGGTACATAATACCTGTTACTGGGTCAGCCATTCGCAATGTTAATCTCTCGTAAACAGAGTCATTCGGTACATCTAGGCAGAACACTCTGTAGGAAACAGTTAGATTTCAGTTATTAATCGGAGAACATGTCAGTTTTGACCTGCTAATGAAGACAACGATGAAGGTATGACAATGACAGCAATAATGATGTTGATGATGATGAAGTTACTGATAATGATGATGATGAGATGATGATGATGATGATGATGAAAGCGGACCATGTCAACAATAACAACAACAATTACCATAACAATTACTTTTGTACAACTTTAATATGGTAAAAATAAAATTGAATTAATTTTTCTTCTCCCTAAAAACCATTTTAATTTAATATAGTGTCACGCTGCCTTACCTATTTGGCTCATAACCTGCAGTACTGAGATTTTCTGCCTGTTCTCTGGTACGTGGGAAGCCTCGCAATACCCAGCCGCTTGTAACACAGTCTATCTGGCTCAAACGATCCTCAAGGAGTTTCAGAATAAGATTGTCTGGTACTGTTGAAAACAACAAAAATAATATATAACAATCTACTAGAGAATATTGTCAGTGTACATACAATGAATCACCACATTCTTGTATCTAATATTTTTAATATTACACACAAAGAAGCATAGAACTCATAACATTTTCAAACTGTTAAAAGCCAAAGTAAGTTTACATTAAAAGTGCTGGTTGAGCAAACAAATTCAGGGCTGCATAACATCATTACCCTTGGTCAAATTATCTATCCTGCTTGGCAAGTTAACAAAAATGAGGAAACATTGCCCAGCAAGAATAATCACGCAGGAATTGACAGACCACACATACACAAAAGCCAACACTATCTTAAAACGTTCTACATATTTAAATAATATGGAAAAATGCAGCATAATTTGACGGTAAATTACTCTTGTCTTAATAATTATAATAATATAACACATTTTTTTAGCGTTTATTAAAGCAAAAATAATACAAAAAAGTCTTTTTAACGCTGCAGGAAGATGTTTAAGAGAGAAGTTTAGTGATTTGAAGAGGAAGGACTTAAGATTAGATTGAGAAATTCAGGATCAGTGATAGGAGCAGGAATGGAAAAAAAGTCCCAATGTATGTTTGTTTTACTAGTCTTACTTGGCATATTTCTGTTCACATATGGTTTGATAGCCTCTCCTATCTTTGACTCATTAGCTATTGCCTCCTTGACAAGCTGACCAGAAGACACTGAAAATAAAAAATGATATAAACAACAACCTTAATTTGTTTTACATGATAACATACACTGTAGGTTGGGGCATTACAACCGTAGTGGAGTAACATCCCTACCCTATGATGCATAGTTTGATTAGGGTTGGCTTTGGGGTATGCGGGTCATTAGGTTCTTAGTGGAGTAGCGACCCTTCCCCAGGATGCATAGTTTGATTAGGGTTGGGGTATGCAGGTCACTTGGACCTTAGTGGAGTAACATCCCTATCCCATAATGCATAGTTACTAACATTCTCTGTAGACAATATTTTTAATTTGTCACATGAATGAATAATTGATAATTAAAAAAAACTCAATTAAATTTTTAATAAGAAAGATTTTACAAGATTACATTATTAGACGTTCATATTTCCATTTAACATTTAAATTAAGTCAGGTAAAATTTACATCTTCAAAATATTATTTATTATTATTAGACATCCAATAAGCATTTTAATTGATTTTAAGTAAGAATAATATCTTCAAAAATTAAAAACACTTTAATATTTTAAAGTTTGTAAGTTTCAATTATCTACATCATTCTATTTTTATTCTGAGTACTAAGAAGACAACACAAATTTTGATATAACACACCACTGATTATGTTGTATTTACTGGCCAACAAGGCAGCTTGTACACTCTTGCCACTTCCAGTTGGTCCTAGAAGAACAATGCGTGGCGTGTGTGGGGCCAGGCTTCGATGCTTAGTACTCAAAGCAGTCATAACTGAAAAAAAAGAACATTACATTCAAACAATCATCAATTGCTAAATCATAAGATGGTTCTTTCTTTATTTATTTATATACTGACATATGTAGATGCAATGCGATGTGATGAGTGACTGGTTTAGCTTGTCTTTGCCACATATTTATACAGGATAACATATCAGGAGGGTGTACAACCTGGTTTACACATGGTTCTGCTTTTACAAAATTATAAAATTATGCAAGACATCTAAAAACAACAAATCGCATAAAAGATACCTAATTACAAATATGATAAAAAGCTAAAATGCAAAACATTTAATTTTTGTTAAAATACATCAAAAAAGTTAAAATCATAAGGTAATAAAATATGAAAATAGAAAAAATTCAGTAGTATTGTAAAAGTAAAAAGATTAGTAAAATTGTGGGTGAACCACCTAAATATAAATAATGCAGACTGTGAATGGAACTTTACCATAAAGAGGTCATACTGTACAGTACACTTGAAATTCAGTATTTTAATTGCTGATTTTATACTTTAATTAAATTAAATTTTCACTACTCAATAGACAGATTCCACAACCAGGAATCACTTTATGTATAGTGGGTATAACTTACAGTGTGAAAGTTTAGGAAAAGGTAGGCCTAATCATTTTACAACCATAACATTAGCCTAATGTTATGGTTGTAAAACCAACTGCCCACTGTTTAATGAGAAATAAGAATAGCAACGAAAGGCAATTCATTGGGGGGTAGAGAGTTCCAGAAAATAATGTTTATTAACACATTTTAGTGTTCCCTGTGAATTTTGGGCTTTGGAAATTATGTGACCCTCCGTAAAACTTGAACTACTGTAATCTATGTTATTATGAATTTTGTGGGTGTTTTCACGGAGAGTATATCTCAATCTACTTATTTCACCTACTAGAAATTCACTGTGTTCCAAAACCTTACACTATTTACATCACAATTTTGTTAAACCAAAAAACTGAGAAAAATTAACTAAAAAAAATGTTACCTTGTGAAAAAACATCAGCTTTCGGCTGGTCAGCATTGATGGTTTTAGCAAACTTCTGGTAGCACTGTTTGAGGCCATCTGCATGCCTGTGGTATAGTACTAGGCGTTCTGTCATCTCATCTTCCGTGCAACCTTCCGGAGGCTCTATCAACCTCTTCTCAACTTCAGGATTTGAGGGGTAGTCAAATGTGGTATGGTACACATCTAAAAATAATTATAATTTAAAAAAAAACAATAGTTGTTTATGGATTTTAAAGTTTTGAGGTTGAAGTACTGATGTTATCCTGTTTAAAAAGAGTAGAACCAATATTCAAGTAATTTGAAAATATAATATCATACCTTGTGTTTCTGGATCTACTCTTTTGCCCATTTGTCTTTCAATGAGGACAGTGTCTGGTGCTTCAAGAATGACTAAAAGCAGAAGAGTAAGAAAAAAAAAATATGTAAATCCAAATAATATAACATAAATAAGTATGGAAGTACGAGTCAGCAGTATCAACCTTCTAGATACCGTCTTCGACTGCAGTCGAAATTGACCTCAAACCGAGAATTCCCATTTTCGACTGCAGTCGAAATTTAGTAACTAAAAAATAGGTGGTTTTCAAATCGCTCTTCCGTTTTTATTTTAGCTCCATTACGTCAGAAATTTTGAACACGCATGCGTGAAGCTATTTTCTTTCGAAATCTGTGAAATGAAATGCGCTTATATAAAAATGTTTAGAAATATCAATTTGAAATCATTATTAATTTCGAAAATTTTCCGAAATGGCCGCACAAGATGTGTACACAGCTGAGGAAGCGATTGACCTGATTTTTGATTCAGAAAGCGATGAAGGTGAGGTTTTAGATGACTTAGACGTGCCTGATAGCGATGATGACGGTGGGACTTCAAGCAGTTCTGACGGCGAAGATGTTCTTAATGAAGATGAGCCTAGGCCTAGAAATGTGAGGGTGGTCGATGCTTTTGAATGGAAAGATCGTGCTTATAGTTATGGATGGTTGGGTAAATAAATTATATAACTGTGTGGAATAGGAATGTTTTATATTTGTTTCAATTTTTTTTGGCTATAATTTATTTTTTGGGGGGTTTTTGCTGACGATTTATATGTAGCATTTTTCTGTCATTTCCATTATATTATATATATATATTATATTATATTATGAAAGAATATAAATTATACATCAAATGAAAGCTTATTCTATAAGCTTTCTTTGTTTTTAGAAACATTTTTCTGTATAATTTACAGAAAGTTCCCAAAAATCCACCAGAACGACGTATACTCAAGAAACGCAAAAAACCTAGTTACACTGCAAAAGAATCCGGTATTCAAGGGTTTGCACTACAAAAGAATCCGGTATCCAGAGGGTTAACTTGACACTGACCTTGAATACCATGCAAACTGGCTTGTTCTAACAAACGACCATGTTGCATCTATATTTTGCTATGTTAGTGATTGCAGGGCCATATATAGGATTACCATTTGGAGAGTGTAGGGTGTGCAAAATAGAATAAATGGAGTCAGGGGGAAGAGCCAGTTGGACCACAACTTAAATTTTTCATTACTTCATGCCCATATACTGGCATAATGATTGATGTTTGGTGAAAAATTTTAAATCTTTATTAAAGAAAATAAAAAATTTTACATTCAGTACAATTTTAATTTTCTTATAAATGTGAACCTTTTGTGCTTTCGGTGGTGCGTACACAACCATCGCTTAACACTCTGCCTGCCAAACACGGAGATCTCTGTGTTTGGTAACGCAACGCTTAACCGCCAAACACGGAGATCGCCATGTTTCAGGTTTTTTTTACAGAATTTGATAGATGGGGTAATTATTGACACGTAAAACAATTTGAACATTATGTTCGGTCTGGACCGTAAGTATTTCACTATTTCAAAGTATCCAAAATGGAAGAAAAAAGACAGAATTCGCGTCGGAGCTAGCGCTGGTTAGCGTAAACCCGTGGCTAGGACCGGAATCTAACATGCGGATTTTGGCGAAAGTATGTCATCAGATGATGTTAGATGTATAATTTATGATTTTTAAAATGTCATAAATCTTTAAATAGTGATGTTTTTTTTAGCTAGGCCTAGACTAGCCTAGCGATACCATGTAGGGTAGCTTTGGTTGATGTCTCTTTCGGGCGTCAGTGTTTGTTTACATCGAGCGTAGCAAAATCGCGATTATCTCAGCTTTATTGGGCAAAATTGCGTAAATCTCTGAAGTGAGTCATTTTCATTTTATTGTTACGGGTTATAGATTGTGATTAGAATAAAGTGTTTGGTACCATTGTAAAGCTAAGATGTTTGTGTTTCTTGTAGTATTAATTACATGTCACTCTGATCACATACGCACTCTCAATGAGCTTCGGAAAAGTGTTAAAATTCGCTAAAAAGTCTGGCGGTGGCTGATACTATTGTTTCAAACCCCTGGTGGTCAGAGTGTTAATAATAATGGTAATAATAATAATAATAATAATTCTAATAACTAGCATTTTTGCTGCTGTATTTCTTTAAATATATCTATAAATGTTCATATTGATCTTATATTATTTTAACAATTTTAAAAATGTTATGATCTGGATGTTAATGTATTTTTAGGGTATATGTATGTTGCTTGTTTTTATGAATTGTGAATGTTATTGTTGACTTTTTGTACTGGGCCCTGTGGGAGAACAGTAGATAAGCTACTGAACAGGTTTTCCCAGTATAAAGAATAAAGAAATAAATAAATCAAATAAATAAATAAACCCCTCCCCCACATTTGATATAGGCCTGATGTATGTGAAAAGCATGTGTGCATTTGAATGTGGATAAATCTGCCTCTTTTACCATAATGCTTTGGTGCTATACCAACTTCTTGCAGTGCCAGGGCTTGGCCTCTGTTTACAGGGAAGCCTTCCATCACCCATCCTTTCTTAACACAGTCAAAGAGTTTAAGTCGTGCCTGTATCAACTTCACCCAGAGATCCATTGGGACGGACTGCAGCATCAAAAAAAAAAAAAAAAGCAGATGAGATTTTAATTTTCATCATTCTTTTGGATTGTGTGTATCTATGTATTAATTATTTATTTTATATTAAAACACAAAATCTTAGAATATTAAATATTTGATAAAAAATGTGATCTAAAAATTCTAAGATCAATTTATATAGATGGAAGCAAAAGTTTAGTATTAATATATTGAAAAAATATCCAGTTATTTTCATAAATATTGGATATATTGTTAAATCAAGAATTTTAATTATAGTGGTAAATATTTGATGGAATATTATTATCACTGATATGAATAAGATGCGCAGCATATATTTCACATTACTGAATGTTTCTAAGGCAAAATTAGGCCTACAGCTGACTTAAATAATGCAGTAATAATTTAAATTTTTAGGTGGCAGAAATGGTAATAGATAAATGGTGCATTACTACAAGTTTGTTATATTACTATTATTCTCCTGAAGACGGTTGAAGCAAGTTAACCGAAACGTCGAGATATTCTCAACCAACAACAACAGTTCTTTTCAGAACTATCTACGTGGTGTACCGCAAGCATTAATTATATATTATACTTCGCCATGCAAACCTTCAAACAATATTACTATTAAAAATATTGAAAATATACATTAAGTAATAACCAGCAACAGAATAAAAATGAGAGCAAAAGCTTAGCCTCGCCACCATTTTAATTTCCTTTGAACTTTGGTACGTGTGCAAAACACGCAAACTTATATATTTTTTTTTCTAAGCCAACACTGCCACCAACATCATGTAGAACATAGGCCAAAATAATGGCTTTCCCAGAGCTTTGTTCATTTGAAGAGACTATTAATGTAAGAAAAGAGAAAATATTGAATTATTTCTTACCTCTTTCTTATCTATTATTGCCCTAGCCTTGGCAGCAAGCGGAGATACATCATCCTCTAGTAGAAGCTGTTGAGTGATGTGTGCTGTCCGTAGCTTTGAAGACACCATTTTGCCTATCGTTGTCTTACCAGATGCAGGTGGGCCTTGAATTATAATTGCTGGAACTACAAATATGAAGATAGTATAATACATACTCCAAGTATCGAAATGCACGCCATCGTGTCGGATTTAATATTTCAACATTATTTATGTCATCATCAGGATCTGAGATTAATCAGTGGAACTTATCAGAGATTAATCAGTGGACCTTTCGGTTTTTGGAAAACGAATACGAAGTATTATCAAAATTAGTTTGAGTATATTATAATAATAATAATTGGTTTAGTATTTTTTGCCAATATTAGGAGCCAATAAAGTTGAGGCTGTTCAAAGATGTGCGGCTCGCTTTATTACCAACAACTACAAGTGGGATTCCTCTGTTACTGCTATGCTCAAAGAAATCAACCTCCCTCCACTTGAACACAGATGGAAAGTCCACAGACTAGTAATGATGCACAAGATTGTTCATCAAAATATTGACCTGAAGTTTGATAACCACTTGGAACAGATGAGCAACTGCTGATAGGTGCACTAGAAATCCAAACACCCTCTCATTAAAGGTACCAATGGCCAAGACTAATCGCTTCCTATATTCCTTTTTCCCCAACACAGCTAAAGACTGGAATGTTCTCCCTTACTCCTCTACATCAATCAATAATTCTGTTGCCCTTTTGCAAACAAATTGCAAACTTTGACTAGGACTAGTCCCTCCTCTGTCGCCACTATTCAACCATTGAGTGATATTCCAGCCAGAGTCTACAATTATACTATCAAGATCAATGAATGCATGAATAAACATGTCATTCTTAAATTGTATTAAATTTAAATTTAAAAAAATTTAAAACCTTCCAACAAATGCTTACCATCATCGTCTTCCCGTTTCAATTCCTCAAGGATGAAATTTAAAGGATCATCAGGTTTGTCAATGAGAAGTCTTGAAATAAGGCGCTGAAAATAATAATTTCACTAACTGTTAACAAGACATAACAATGGTTGGCCGACAAAGAATCCAATGTAGATAATTGTTGGTTTACATTTCTACTGTATATCTGTGATGTGGCAAACTGGGTTTTGGAAAACTGGCGTAGATCCTTCCATTTAGCCTAGGCTTAAGAATCTTGCAGTAATTGTGGTGTCATCTATATACACCTGTTTTGGTAGTTGAGGTGATTTGGTACTTAATATTAACATTTCTGTTTATTCCTGTTTTGATTTGACTGATTTTTTTTTATTCTCAAAGTCATTATTTATTTTACATAAAGCTGTCTCTCTCTTCATTTTGTCCATTGAATCCAATTTTTCATGTACATTCATTGCCATAGACCTAGGCCTAGTAAAGTTAATTTATTTTACTGTTTTTTTCTTTCTTTTTTTTTCCCTCTGAAAGAAGGTCACTGTCACTCACACACTGTGTCACGTGTGCAGTACGTTTTTTTTTTCCTACCTTTTTATAAAGATTGATTTGTGTGGATTAACAACATCTACCTTGCAGCATTGTTCCAAAATAACTTAGCTAATATTAATATTCATAAGTAGACCCTACTAGTCTATAGTATTAGGCCTAGGATTAGCCTTGGGTTTCTAGCCTAGGCCTAGCCTCTCCCTAGCCAACCAAGCTATGGAGCACCCACGCAGTCCAACCGAGGCCGGTGAGTGCAGGTTGCTCTATCGTCGCCATCTGTGGAAGCTAGGCCTAGGCTACATTTGCGCATAATTATGCTTCATTTTAACAGCTTAATATACTTTACTTACTCTATACAGTTCAAATAACTCATGCTTCTGTGCATAAGTTGCAAACTGCGGTGGGATACGTAGTGGTCTTTTTGTAGCATCCATTCCGTGGCGTATTTTTATGCACAATCCTTCGCTCTATCTTCGACGATAGTTGTTTTGATGATGTACATGTACGTCGTCTCGTTGCTAGGGCTGTGGCCAGTGGTGATAATAAAAAGGTTCTCGAAAACATATGAACACACCATGCCCTAGTATTAAAATCCATGTTCCGATTGTGTGATAATCTGTCACACGGGGAGGGGCAACGTCTGTGTTTATCCATAGTACTAATGTAGGAAGTAATTTACAATCGTATCGTCTGTTTCCGGTCCGAAATCCTGTGCATCATAATGTCAGAGGAATAGATGGTACTCCATCCGTCACACGCAGTCAGAATCGTTGGCCTAGGCCTACGGTACCTGATGAGCTGCAAGGTGTTGGGGCTGTCTCTTATACACATCTGAGAATATATTTTTCCACAGCAGACCGGAGATACAATTATGATTTATGAAAACACAACGGTTAACGCTTCTAATGGGCTTGCTATTTTTATTTCAACGATCAGTAGGACTACGCGCCTTATATTTAGGCATTACAATTGTAAAAAGTTTGATAAATGCATTGTTTTTAAGTGGCCAATGACAGACAGACCGATCGGAGCGATTAATTTTGTTGGCGAATCTTACAATGTTCATTTTCCCACAAAACTGGGAGGGGTAAATTGGAGTGGGGGGGGGGGGGGAAAGAAATTATCTGCCCATCCCGTAGCGCCACCACTGCAGGTGACAAAAGTTACCAAATTTAGTACGAATGTAAAAAAAAAATTCTAAAGCCAAAACTACTGGGACAAAAATTGGGTGAAAATTTCCACCTTTAGGCCTATATTCCAATGATTTATTATTATCAGGGAACAGTGAAACTAGTGCAAGATAAAACACATTGCGATTATTACGAATACACTTTTTTTTAAAACCAGTTTCAGTGTTGCCGATTTCAGACTGAAAAAGTTCTAGTTTTGCTCTTATTTTACACACTTTTCAAAGGTAGAAAAGTATTATTGTACATCAGTATCCTACTGTACTGAGCATATGTATCTTACATACTATTTAGGCTACTACTACACATAATGTATAGATAAGGTTTGTTGGTTTTTTTTTTATTAAAAAAAACCCCAAAAAACTAAAAAACACTCATTTGACATTTCAGTGACCTCGGCCTCAATTCGTTCTTATTCCTTATATTTGTTCTTATTTTTTTAAAAGCAATTGCAGCTTCATTGATCATACAAGTGTTATAATAAAAGTGTATTCATCAGAATTAAAGAGGTGAAAAATAAATACAAGAATTGGATTTTGTTCTGAATTGTTGACATTTTGTAATAGGCTTATTTTTAAATTATGTATATTTTAAAAATTAAATTAGTCTCTATGTTCAATAAATAAATTGGGTTTTTTGTATTTTAATTTTTTCTATTATTAATGTAAATTGTAAATATGCTATAATTATAATAATTAAAAACTTTTTTTGTATTTTTCTTAATATAATTTAGGGGGTGCGATCGCACCGTCTGCACCCCTCCTGCATCCGCCCCAGGTGGCCTAATGACTAGCCTTTATTAACCTAGCATAATTTATTTTACTTTTTGGGGCAAAACCGGTAAGAACAATGCACATCGTTTTTCAGTAGCACCCATCGAGCACCATGAGTCAGATATGTCGAAACACTTTGACAGATTGCGCTAATCAAAGGTGAGAGGTAAACAAACATAATTGACAAGTTTACCAGGTAAATAAACTAAAGGCGAGTAGATGAGAAAATAAATGGTTTCCCGAGAGGGTTTAGTAAAGGCGACGACAGAGGCGAGCATAATTAGTGACGGCCTAGCTTTTCGTGAAACCTACATCAGAGGCCGCAAAATAATTGTAAGGCTACCAGGCACAAATCCCTAGCATCTAACCTGATAAAATAAAAAATAAAAAAATGTTTAAATGTAAATTTATATTGCTCAATATTTCAATTGTTGATTGTTTCTAACTTGTCATTTTTCTAAATAACTTCCCTCATCCCTGCAACCTCGCATATTTCATTACTTTTGACTCATCTCGGATTTCCTCCTCCACTCCAATTCTTTATATAATATTCCAATGTGTTCATCTTTTTGTGAATTTAGTACATTGTGAACTTGTGGTTGTTATTAGAGGATATATTGGCCCATGGTGAAAAAGAAATTGAAATCGAAAAATTGAAATTTTTCTAAATTAAATTGTCTCAGGGAAAAATCATATTTAGTTGATTGGCTCATTTGTGTTATACCGTATGTTATGTTAATCAACAATTTGCAAGACTCTTTAAAGGTTATACCAAAACTAAAACTAACACAAAATATACACTACACACGCATACAATGAGAAGACCAATCTGGTAAACAATATATTTAAAAAAAACAGAATAATCGTTTTTTTTTTTCAATTTGGTTAATCTTATGACAGACTGTGCATTAATACTTACCGATGCAATGCTGTATCCACATAATGTAACATAGCCCTCAAGTATATATA